CTCAAGTATCGAAATCAAATGTTAAAACATGGATAATAGAAAATCTTACACAATCTAGCAACTTGTTTTTTCAGTAGTCTTTATTTTCTCAAAAAATAACAGCTCAATAATATAAAGAAGATTAAAAATCAAAATAGTTCGCGATTCTTACTATAATAAAGGTGTGGGTGTTGGTGCGGATTACACGAAAGAGACCAATGCCCACGCCCACACCCTTAGAATGCATATTTTTGAGAATATTTATCGATTGTTATGAGTTTTTTGTTGTTTATCATAATATATTTATCTAACCACTATCGTTTAGTTTTAAATAGTTTGTTTCTGTGTGAAACATAAAATGGACTGTTGATATTTGAAGTCAAGTCGTTAAATATAGGATAACCATTGGTAGGATTAAATTGAATAAATTTTTAAAGTGGAACCGCGAAAACTTCTATGTAAACCGTATGCATACGATACAGGCATCTCTAAGTGACTTAAAAATCATGTTTATGCACATGACGTACGTGAAAGAGATGCGTCTCCATTTTCATTGGCGATTTATATGCTTAGTAAAAATGCGCCATCGACAGTGTTACTGTTTTGGGATTGGACATTTTTGTTTGGTTGTATGATTCAATCTATCTCTCACAAAGAACAAGATCTAATTCTAGTTAAATTAAGAAAAAAGAAGGCAACCAAATTATACAGTATAATTTGTGGGCATTTGCATCTGACTCTTTTCTATAGTCAACTTTGTATGGATGGCAATATCTTATGTTTTATCTTCCATTCTAAATGTCAATCGAAATGGATAATTTCGATCTAATCAAGATTCAGAAGGACGGTGGGATGCTCATTACCTTCCGTTTTCAAGACAGCAACAGCGTTGATGATATTGATTTTGCTCTTCGAAATGTATTATCCATTCAAAAGAATCTCAGCTATTCCTTAAGTTATAAGAATAAAGATACTGGTCAAGACATTTACATTGTGGCCAATGGAAGCATGCTACGTCAATGTCTCAAAGAAAATATTAATCAATTGGATTTATTTGTGACTCCACGAACTCCTGCTTCATGTAAGCCAGAATTCCAAAATGTTTGGATTTTAATACGAGGTCTTATGATGATGAACGTGGAATGAAACCCTTTTTTTGATATTAATCGACAGTCTCTGTTCGATCAATTAATCTCTGGGATAGTTTCATGCAGCCTATATCTATACATAGACAATCTAGTGCGATATGTTATACAACTAGGTACTTGAATACATTCTGAAGAGTAAGATTTGTTCAAGTTGATCTCAACCTTGGGTATTTGCAATCAGAGTTTAGAATAAATTTTCGAAGTACTTTTTGATTGGATTTATCAAAATATGAGAATGTCTCTTTAGTTGATATTGAGTCTTTTTTGTTGAAATAACTTGATTCTCTTAGCATGCTAGCATGAAAATTAATAAGTACTGTTCTTTTCCCATTTCTAACAGCGAACAGTAAAAAAAATGAAAAATTTGATTTTATTCTTTTGTAGCTAGATTTGCTCCTCACGAAAGTGCTTCTTTTTACAAATAAGAAACATACGGTTTTGTTTCTTGACATAAAAATTCAATTATATTGTCTCATGAATTTTCATTAGTTCAAATATTCTATGCTAATCTATATTGTGAGAATAACCTCAAGAATTTTATTACATTATCCTTGCTCCTTTTAGTGTCATCATCGCCATCCAATAGCAATAGTCAAGAACGCGACAATCTAGTACAACGATGGCCTGAACTGATGAAAAATATTGATCGTCGAATTCAGCGTTGGACAAGTCGTTCAGGTCAGTAAGATAAAAGAGAAAATACTATCGATTTGAGCAACAGAAAATGTCACTACAGAAGAAGATGAAGGTGACAGTTATAGTTATTCCAATAAGGTATTTACATTACTCATTAAAAACAGAAGGACACATAAACAAGCCGAAGAGAAATAATACTCTAGATATGGAAAATAATCTCGAAAAAAATCGATCGATACTGGCCGCAGGCTTCTAATTAATGTTGTCATTGTTCCGTAAGAATTTTCTTGAACCATTGTATATTCGCTAGTTTACTACTATGTTTAAACTAAACAAGCCGAGCCGTGCATTACTATTAACACGAGATTTCATCAATAGATTTTTCATTTGAAGCCTGTCTAGAATGCCTCCATAGAGCACAGGATAATTCCAGTTTTACATTAGCCCCAATATTCGGATAGTTTTCACTTTTATTGAAAAATTTGATTTGAATTTTCCTTCGACTCAAAATGCAGAGTAAACTTTGACAATTACATGTTTCTTCTCAAATGAACAAATGTGTTGTTTTATGAAAACCTCGTTTTTTAAAGTTCTTTTTTTTGAATGAAGACGAACTGATGCGTAAAAACAATTCGCACAAAGTATAGTTCTAGACTTTGTAGTGCTGATACACATAGTATTGTACACATGTTTGTCTCGTTGAAATTAGTCTATTGACGCTTTCTTTCTAGATAACACAGTGGGCAAAAATGTTAATGGCAGCTATGAATACTTGCTGGAGACAAACTTTGCTTCTTCGTCTTGGTTTCCCGATCTAGTAGGCAGAGTATGGTACTGGATCACCAACAAAAAGCCAATATATACCTCGGTTCGACATAAAACTGACTAGACAATATGGTTGAATATCGTTTGTTGTTGTTGTGTTCGTAGTAGTAATGATTATACGATGGTCTCTGGTTGAGATTTGCTTGCTTGTTTATTCGTGTTTCGTTGTTTTTTCTATACTATTAAGTATCTTGCTGTTCTCCGTTCTGTAATAATGGCCAATCTCACTAATAAAATTCGCCCATTTGTTTGATGAAGGCTATTTCTCGTGAAAGAAAAACTTTCGACTAATGAATTCGATATAGATCTTATCCAGTCGAACATATTAAATAATATTCACAAGAAAGGTAACATTCTGCATGTATTGACTCAGGATAGATTCATCTGTGAACTCTAAATCGAAATAGGGTTGAGTACATGATTGCCGACAACAACATGATTCGAACTGGCGTAGGAAGATACCGCAGTTTTCATGTCTTTTCGACGATTTTATGTTAGACCATCAGCACACTGACCGTTCTGCTTATCTTTACACTCGAGAAGAAACGACATCGACTTTCCTCGCTATTGAAAACAATAGAAGCAAAGCCTATATTATGCTCATGGAAAGCTTCAATAAACTAGACTTCTAAGATGTTTCTTAAACGCCTGGCTCGTAGTCGACGACGATCGACCATATTCAGGCGCAAATTGCTGCAATACTTCTACTGTGGTGAGGTTTTCTTTTATCAATAACCATAATCCCTCATTGTTCCCGTTCAGAATTTCATTTTCTAGCAGAAAAACAAATCGAGATATTGTACCATTCTTATCTCATGGAAATATGCCAAACTATGTGGTTATTTAGTAGCTTGACGCTTTTTTTTCGTGAAAACCTTATTCATGGATAATCTTCGCTTTCGTAGTACTTTAATCTTTATACTACTTCTTTACGTAGCTAATCTGTAAGTCGTCATTTTTCTCCAGTTAGAACCATATTTATTCGCTTTAATTTGATTTTAGATTTACTAGCTTTGGTTCTGATATTTTGTCAGGCAAGATTGTGGCTAGCAGCAGTCCAACTATCTTCACCAACGTCACCTCCATTGAAATTCTACTCGAAGGGTTATTTAATTCGATGACCAACAACATCTCTCTGAGAAATTCTACTACATGAACTCAGTCTTTTTTATTATTATATCGTTTTCAGTGTTTCTCTTGTCTTCGTATCAAGTTTTTACTCTTTTTAAGTCAATTATACTGTGATCTATATTTTATTCGATAGTATCAAATACATGTCAGATGATCTCCGTCTTACTTTTATTCAATATATTACAATTAGTTTAATCTTGTTTTTCAATCAATTATATCACCGCCGGGCTATTATCTTATTCATAAGTCGCAATGTATCCATTTAAAACGAACACTGTCGATATTCTATCTCTTTTTTTAATGAAACTACTATTGTGTCAGTATTGGATATATTTGAGTTCAGTGAGATATTGATTAAATGTTACTGATATCTTAGGTGGCGAAGCTATTAGGCTTGCGAGATTCAAGCCTATCCCAAAAACAGAGGAAGATAGACTCAAATTAGGGCAGATCCAAGCTTGGATAGACGTGGTTATATGTAAAAGTTTTCTAGTATTGTTCTGTTCTCAAGTTCTTGTGATAGCTGACGTATTTTTAGAAAGGCTAGTCCATATTTTCTCTACTATCAACTCAATGCTCAATGAGGTATTGATTGGAGTTCATTGGTATCTTTATCGACGTCGAATTTTTGGTTCTTAATATAAGACAGTGAAATTATTTTCCGTACACTTCTATTCGAATTGATTTATGAATTTTATATATCGAAGTACCATTATTCCTTCTATATATACCAATATCAGCGAAGCAAAGTCAGATTATGTTTTCTTATGTGCTAAAAAAAACAAAAGAACAAGCATGTATTGATGAAAAGCCATATTTTATCGGAATTTTATTTATGGAAGTGGCTATATACACCCAAGTGTACATAGCCACTTCCTTTATCTATATGCAGTAGATCGTTATCATATATGTCATAGATCAGCAGAGTCAAACAAGTTTATCAAAGGCTATTCAACATTTTTCATTCGTGTTATTATAAATTCATGTGACCTGCAAGTTGCTGTTTTATCATGAATTAGTGTTGGACGCGTGCTCGGTTGACCAATGCAATGATACACCATTGGCACGATGCTTTTCGACATTTTTTGACGCATTCAAATTGATTGACAATGACCAATGTGATGAGATATTAGCGACATATTTGACTGAAATTCAAAGCTGTAATTATTTCGATGATACAGAAAAATATTTAGAAAATCTTGAAATACCACAGTCAGTCGGTGAAGTTTATGAATACTTTAAAAATGAATTAATCTCGTTAAAAAAAACTTTCACAGATTTACGACATGGTTCTGATGAAAAGCGCAAAACTGCAACATATTTATATCAATCACTATGTAACACAATAATAATTCACTTTTATGAGTCAAAACTCGAAAAATTTCCAGTCGAACTAGATATCAATGCTCCATCATGGATTTTCTCGCCATTTGAAAATAAAATCGACTTTGAATCTTTCATCATTCCAGATATGTCGCATGAACTATTCATACCGTTAGATTTAGAATTTTCTCGTCTTCGTAAATATTTACAAGAA